AAGATAGCAAGGGAGGCGAAGACAAACCCCAAAGGATTCTACCAAATGTATCAAACTAAAACACGAGAAAAGATTGGACCAATACGGTCAGATACCGGCGAGCTCACTGACAACGACGGAGAAATGAGGAATAATTTTAATAAATATTTTTCAACAGTTTTCACCACCGAAAAGGTAAACATGATACCCGAGGCACCGACTCTATTCAGAGATAGTGAAGAAAACAAATTAAGCGAGATAGTAGTGACTAGTAGCGATGTTAGTAAGCAAATAGATAAACTAAAGCCTAATAAGTCACCTGGTCCCGATGAGATATTTGCCAGAGTATTAAAGGAATGTAAGGAAGAGCTTAGTATGTCCTTAGCAAAGTTGTTTAATATGTCCTTAAATACAGGTGTAGTACCAGAATCCTGGAGGATAACGAATGTAATACCGATTTTCAAAAAGGGGGGTAGATCACTATCCTCTAACTACCGCTCAATCAGCCTAACATCAATAGTAGGCAAATTACTTGAATCAATCATTTCAAACTCTATTCGAAACCACCTGGAGAAGCACAAGTTGATCAATGATTCCCAACATGGCTTCACAAGTGGGCGTTCATGTCTAACTAATCTATTAACATTCTTTTCATCAGTTTTCGAATCGGTGGACGAAGGGCACAATTATGATGTGGTATTAGGGTGTGTCATAGGAGGGAAGATCAGCTAAAACTAATGGCCCATCACTTTTTTGGTAGATTTTAGTGTATATAAACAGAAAATAATTTCAGTTTCAATATTTTGCAACCTTTTGCTAGGTAAATTTTAGCGTGAAATTTATCGAAAATCTAACGTACAGCTGCATTAGTGCATTACAATTAAATAGTGAACATTGCTTTCTGACTTCATTCTTTAACAACCCAACTAACAATTTTTTTTTCTGTTTCAGATTCTGATGCATTTATAAGTTGATAATATTTGCGATGGCTGCTTGTGTCAGGACGAGGAACCAAAAATCCAGCCATCTCAGTCACTATCTTGGGTCTGGGAGAGAGCTCCTGAAGTCGGAGTTGCCTACATTGAGAGATGCTGTGAGATACGGTGTTTTAATCAGGCAAATCAGTGAAAAGAACCAAAGAACTTACACAAACAAAGGCATTGCCAGTGATATGACCAAAGCTGTCTTGGCACATTACACTCTGGCTAACGCTCAGTTCAAGCCTCCAGTCATAACAAGTCAGAAGAAGATTAGTGAGAGACTGCTAGCCAGTTGGGAAAAGGCAAGAGATATCTCTCTTGGGAGAGGAAAACTTGCAGTTAAGGACAGCTTTGCCAAGCAACTGGACCAGTTATTTGACATAATTACTTGCAAGTGCCCAATTGTTCTCTGTCCTGAGTTTGGATGCGATCCTGACTGTAAATCCGAGGCCCACATCTCCTGTATTTGCAAGCGTGAACTGATGATTCCTGTGATCGAACTGGCATTTGTCAAAGCACAGAGAGAGAAGACTGGCAGTATAGGGGCTCTCATGATTTCTTGCCAAGATACTCCGGAGTCCAAGAGACAGGAGGCTGCCACAGAGAGACAGAAGAGGAGAAGAGTTGCCGAGGAAAAGAGACTTGAGAAGGCCCAGGGTGAGGTAAAAAAGGCCGATGATTGGAGTCAAGCTGATTCAGAGTTTAATGACTTCCCCATGGCTGATCCGAGTGCTGACCAGAGAATGGTGACTTTGTCCCTAACCCAGAAAATAATGATCCCAAACCTTCCAGGCATAAAAGATTCCAGAAATAAAGGAAAGATATCCGAAACAGCTCTGGCCAGCATGCGACACCACACTGGTCTCAGAAGAAACTGCAGAGATAGCAACAGCTGCCTGGATTGACGGTGGTTTGATAACACCTGATGATGTTCACCTGGTGATAGATCATAACAAAGTAAGGAGAGCTCAGGAGAAACTTGTCAGGAACCTAGAAGAGGAGTTTGATAAGGGGATAAGAGAAAATGGAATCAATTGTTTGTTCTTTGATGGGAGAAAGGATGACACTAAAGTGTTCATGAAAGTTGGAGATTCTGACAAGTTGTTCCCTGCCATGGTGAAGGAGGAACACTACTCCTGCTGCAGTGAACCAGGAGGGAAGTATTTGTGGCATTTCACTCCAGAGAAAGATGACATCAGGAAACCAGCTGAGATAGTGGCAGATAACATTGTGAACTGGCTCAGAGAGAGGAACGTAGACCAGACCCTGCAGGCCATTGGAGGGGACAGCACCAACACGAACACAGGGTGGCAAGGGGGGTCATACAGTGGATAGAGCGGAAGATTGGGAGGAAGCTGGTCTGGATTGTTTGTGACCTCCACACCAACGAGTTGCCACTCAGACATCTGATCCAGGAGCTGGATGGCAAGACTCTTTCAAACAACAGATGGTCTGGTCTTCTTGGCAAGATGCTGGATTCTGCCACTGAGTTAGAAATAAATCCGAGCTTTGAAAAAATCACAGTTGGCTCCTCCACTCGTTGAGCTTGCACTTACTGTCATTGACGACCTGAGTACTGACCAGTACTATGGTTAAGAAGGATTTGCAGTGCCATCAAACTGGGGTCATGCCTGATAGACTTGCTTACCTGCAGATAGGTCCAGTCTCACATTCTAGGTGGCCTAACGGCTCTCAGGTTCTGCAGAATTTGGGTCGCTCATCATAAACTGAAAGGGAACCAGCTTCACAATCTGAGACTTATTGTCCAATTCATCGTGAGTGTCTACTTGCCAAATTGGTTCAACACCAAGGTCAAGTCATCGTTCTCCGAAGGTCCGAGGCATGTTCTCTTCCAGCTTGAGCTCCTGAGGAGTCAGCCAAGGAAGGTTGTTCAGATTGTGGAGCAGACTGTGAGGAGATCTTCCTGGTATGCTCATCCTGAGGCAGTTCTGCAGACAATGCCCTGCAGTAAGGATGAGGAGGAGAGAAGAGTGGCAGTCAAAAAGATCTTGGATATGAGACTTATGAGAGGATCTGGGCATGACGAATCAGTTGGTGACGATTCCTTCAGGGTCAGGAAGACTCCTGGAAGTCAACGAGGTGCCAAGACCTCACTGATCCTTAGACTGGATAATATCCAGGCTGGGCAGTGAGCCCCCTTACCTGCAGCCCTCACCAATGTTCAAGCCAGAGCTTCCTGGATAACCCCATGCATGTCCCTGCCTGGCCCTCAGATGACCCAGAGTATAGAGTTGCTGTACAGCAAGTGAGCTTGTAGGCCAGTAGCTTGCACAGCCAGGAGAGGAGGAAGGCTACATGAGGCCAGGTATTGCAGGGAGGTGATGAGTAGAAACAGAAGCAAGAAAAGATATGTTCTCTATGGTGTGTGCAGCAACACCGGGTCGTAGTAGTAAAACTGGTTTTTGTATTTGATGATTTTGTTTTCTAAAGGAATATTAAATTTAATAAATGTGTCAAGATCATTCGTTTCACTATTCTGGATCATTTTCATCCTAATAAATTAACCTGATACATTTATTTTACTTTAAATAAGCTATTTAGTGGTGTTGGTAAAAGGGTGGGAATACTGAATTTTCATAAGATTTCAAGTTAAAATTTACCTAGCAAAAAATAAAAACTTTTCAAATCTGAAAATATCACATGATTCTGCACATAGAACTACATCATTAATACCATGGGCCGATTTTTCAAACTAAAAAAAAAAAATTCGCCTCCGTATGACACACCCTAATGTGGTATATCTCGACTTCAGCAAAGCCTTCGACAGAGTCCCCCACGAAAGACTAATTAGAAAGGTAGAAACACATGGCATCAAAGATAATATCCTTAAATGGATTAGGGCGTGGTTACAGGACAGGAAACAGCGAGTGAGCATTAACGGCACTTAGTCCCATTGGAGCAACCTCACTAGTGGAGTTCCCCAGGGCTCAGTACTTGGACCATTATTATTTATTATATACATAAACGACATAGATATTGGCATAGACAGCAACATAAGTAAATTTGCTGATGACACTAAAATAGGACGTGTTATTAAATCTGACGAGGACTCTGCAAAACTACAGGAAGATCTAAACAAATTCTTCGAATGGTCTGAAAAATGGCAGATGAAATTCAACGTGGACAAATGTAAATTGCTCAGTATAGGAGATGTAAACAGGGAAACCAGATACCAGATGAACAACGATGCCATAGAGAAATCCAACTGCGAGAGAGATTTAGGAGGAATGATAAGTAGTATAGGAGATGCAAACAGGGAAACCAGATACCAGATGAACAACGATGCCAGGAGAACTGACTTAGAGAGATTTAGGAGTAATGATAAGTAGGAACCTTAAGCCACGTAAAACAATGTGTTTTTGCTCGTAACAAGGCTAATAAAGTACTTGGGTTCATACAAAGGAGTGTTAGTTACAAGACTAGCGAGGTCATCCTAAAACTGTATCTTGCGCTTGTGAGACCACACCTGGATTACGCAGTTCAGTTCTGGTCACCGTATTACAGAATGGATATAGAATCCTTGGAAAGAATTGAGAGGAGCATGACAAGACTAATCCCGGGCATTAGGAACCTTGAGTATAGAGACAGGTTAAAGCATCTTAATTTGCACTCCCTCAAGAGACGTAGAGCGAGGGGCGACCTGATAAACGTGTATAAATGGAAGTCAGGGCTAAACAAAGGGGACATTACAAAGGTACTCAAACTATCCAACCAGGAGCGAACTCGTAACAATGGTTTTAAATTAGAAAAATTTTGGTTTAGGCGCGAAATAGGTAAACACTGGTTTGGAAACAGAGTAGTGGATGAATGGAACAAGTTACCAAATATCACCATTAACTCGAATACGCTGAATAGCTTGAAACATAGGTTGGATGCTAATATGAGCAATAGGGGTTGGGGGTGAACGGGACTGCCCAGTATGGGCCAATAGGCCCGCTGCAGTTTCCTCCATTCTTATGTTCTTATGTTCTTATCGTTGGTGTGTTTTTTCATCACCAGTTTGGTCTTCCCTCTCCTCACAACCTTCCACTCGTCTGAGTTATCATCAGACACGGGCTTTCCTTGTCTTGCCTCTTCCTCTATTCTCGTCATCTCTCCCTTTAAGTTCATTCCCGCCAACTCTTCCTTTAATCTCAGGTTCTCCAACGTGGCCCTCTCTAATTCTTCCCTGACCCTCCCCAACAAACTCGCACACTCCAGACCACACATAGCACTAGCCATTTTTGATAATTATCCCTCGGGAGCTAACCCTGCCGTGACCTTTCTCCTAGTGAGGTCAGAACACAAGAACATCAACACAGCATGGGAAGAGTAGAGAGAGGTGATGATAAACGGGAGTTAGCAAAGGAACGGTCGGCGGTGAAGAGGTAGGGGAAGATAGCATAAGGAGAGGAATGGAGAAAAAAATGAAAGAAACGGCTAAAGAGACAGGGGGAGAGGGGATGGGATAAAAGAAGAGGAAGGGATGATAGGAATATTGTTGTAAGAAGAAAGTGATGGAATAGAAGGAGAAGCATGAATTAAGACAAATATACATACAAGAATCCCGATAACATGTGAAAGTAAACAAAAGAAGAATCCAATTTCCTATGATGTGGATGACTTTTAGGGTATGAAGGGCGTAAGTCCAGAGTGGAAGCCGAACACAAAAAAAGGATGAAGTAGGGAGACGAGCACTCAGTATGGCAGTAGTGGGTTGTATAGGTGTTAAGTCCCTCGCATCAGGTCTGTCTCTTAGTAACCAATAAACTATTTTGCAGCCTTCTCCCCCTCTCCTCCTTACCACACTGCCCTTACCGAGAGACCACTCCGGCACCCCAGCCTCGTGTATCACCAGTGTGTGTGTGTGTGAGGATCAGGCTGTTACCACTTTATGACGCCCTTCAGCACCCTTCAGTAGTCATCAAGACCGAGGATGAGGGGCAACATAAGGGCGTCACGGGTGAAGGGATTCAACGATTATGAAGAGATGGAGAGCCAGCTGAAGTAGACGATACGAACCCTGGAGTGGTCTGAGCGAGGGGCTGTCAATAATGTCTACATAATCAGTTTTTTTTCCTATGGCATCTTGTGGCACCAGCTTGTGGATAACCTCACCATATGAAAACTTTAAATTGAAATTCCAATGAAGGTACGCTGTTTACCTGGCTTCTCATGAGGAAACATCCTTTCTCTTCTACAGTGTGCATCGTTGTGTGCACGAGTTGTCATGACTGAAGAAGTATCGCGGTTGTTGTCGACACGTTTCTGAGAATACAGAGGAGGCCAGTGAATGTTAAGTGCCTTATTATCCCCAGTAATTTTCCTCGGAAGACGCTGAGATACACTTTCCCCTGCGTCAACCCCCCTCCCCACCCCTGCTCTCTTATCCTCCCTAACACCATGCCCTCCCTCTTCCTCCCCAGCTCCTTGCCCTTCCTCCTCCTCTCCAGCTCCTTGCCCTTTCTCCTCTTCCCCAGCTCCTTGCCCTTCCTCTTCCTCCTCCTCATCTCCCTGTTCTCCCTCGCTTCTCGTCCACTCCCTCCCTCACTGCCACCCCCTCCCCCAGACGACTCACCAGGGGTCGAGTCAGAATTCCCTCCAACTCGGGCTAATAAACGCTTAAAAATTACAGTAGAGCTAAGGGAAAATTTCGCCTCAGTTTTGCTTCCCGTCACTGTACGGCATTTTAAGTGAGCCAGTTAGATGAACTCTGCCATCACAAGTTAAAGAAAAAATATTAACCGAGAGAAACTTAAGAGAACCGAAGACCAAACGCCATTCCAGGGTATCTTCTCCCGGCCAAGACTCAGGCGCTGAATGGAACTCATCTACTGCTCTTGGAAAGCATTGGATTCAGTGGGGCTCTCCCTCCCAGCCTTCATGTTGGCGTCTCTTTTCACTCATACTTTTCATTGACAAGATTCTCCTCCTCCTCCTCCTGCTGCTGGCCAGAGTCACTGTGAGGAGGCTCTTGCCTCACCCACCTCTAATACGTCTCGCCATCTTCACTTTGACTGCTAAAATTTTCCCCTCTTAAGATTTTCTCCTTATTCTTCCTTCAATCAATCCTCCTCTGCTTCTAACTTCTTCTAATCTATTTACTCCTTTACAACACTAATCATGACGTTGTTTGTAGACCAGACCTTTGGAGCAGTGACTGGGCTTTGATCTGGGGTGTGACCACGCCCTACAGTGAGATTAAGACCTGACCCAGGAAAGGTCAAGGCCACAAGGTACCTGAGTTAACCCGGCGTTATGACCGTGTTACTCTACCCTCCAGTCAGTACATCTGTCACCTGGCCAGACACACCCAGATTAGTGACGAGATCTTCCGGCTGGAGATTTGCAATATAAGGGCCCTGCAGCTCCTCGCATTCGGATTATTATTGTAGCAGGGACGGGGCTGAAAGCTCCTTCCCAGAGGGAAACTTCTCTCCCCAGCACCGAGCTCCAGCTAGCAGAGTCTACCCACAGGAGACATAGTCCAGCACTCTCTTCAGCAGCACCTGTTGTTCCCCACTGTACAGACTCCCCCAGTGCACGTTGTCAGGCGATCCTGGGTGAATTGGTGGGTGTAATGTTTATTCGAGGTCATTGTATGGCATAAATATAATGTAAATGAGTTGAATAATAAATAGCTGTACTAGAGTTGGTGCTTAGAAGTTTTCCCCTAAGTATATATTAACAGTAAATAACTACCGGGCCACACTACCAAACTTCCTCACTTTACATCCTTCAACTAAATATTCTACCTATACTTTCTACACTCAATTTACCTGCATTATACTCACTTCCCTAATCCTTCCTTGCTTCCCTAATCCTTCCTCACTTCCCTAATCCTTCTTCACTTTTTAATGTATTCTCGTTTTTCCTTTCATTTTATCACTTCCTTCCTAATCCTTTCTCAATAATCTTAATATTTTCTAACGCCTTCACCAATTATTTCCTGTTTCTCATTCTCTTTCTCGATTTCTCTCTTTCTCTCCTAATCTTCCTTCTTTGTTTCACGCTCTCATTCTCCCACTTTCTCACACTTGCCATCTATATCTCTCTTCTTTCACTCTTCGATTTCATTAATTTAATTTTCTCTTTTTCAATCTTTTTATTCCTCATTCTTTCTCTTAATATTTATTTTTTTATTTGATTTCACACTTTTCCTTATACTTTTTTACTTTCTTCTCTACTTTCTCACAATCTCCTTCTGCTCTTTTCCCCCTCTCTCTATCTTTCTTTTGCATCTGTATATTTTCACTCTTTACTCTTAGTTTACCATCTACTCTCATTCCACTCTCTTTCCTCTCCCGCTCTCTTTCAATTTCACTTTTCCATCTCTCCCATTCTTTCAAATTTCTCTATCATTCTCTCCCCTCACTATCACTTCTCTCTCTCTCTCTATCTCCACCGCGGATGCTTTCCCTTGCTGCTTTCCTTCTCACTTTCACTTACCTCAACACAACAATTTTTTATCATTGGTCACCACTTTCCAACTCCATTAAAGTGCCCAACTCCAACGCTTCATCTTAACCCTTTCACTTGAGCGCGCGCGCGCGCGCGCGTGCGTGTGTGTGTGTGTGTGTGTGTGTAGAAGGCAAACACAAATACACCCCCTCACACAAACATACACCCCCACCCTACCCCTCCACACGCACTCACTCCCCTTCTGTAATCTAAACAACCCAAAACGCATAAGCAAACACTCATTAACCAATCAGCTAAAAGCATATTATTCTCGCATATCCATCTGCCAGTCCAGCACAGTGGTAGCGGCGGTCGGCGAGGCCAGGCCAGGCGGGGGCTGAACCTGTCGCTGTTTTTAAGTACTGTGAGAGAAAATTCTGTCAGCTGTGGTGGTCGTGGATCAGCTGACTCCGTGATGGTGGGTCGACCCTTGTTGACTCTATCTCGATATACGCCAATTTTTACACACCTACGCATGTTTTACGCAACGATACGCCCTGGTTGCAAATTTGGATAATGGACCAACGTAACGCCAAGTTTTAACGTGCTTTTTTGCTCGTGGAAGTTTTACGTAAAGGTCTGAGTTTTTTTTTTTACTCTCCCAGGTAAGTTTTAATTACTGCTACGTCCAGGTTCTGAATTTGGATAATGGGGTATTTTTAACTGAGGCAGGCCAGTGGTGACCAGCTCTCGCTCGCTGCCAAATCTACACAAATACCCCAGTTTGACTTACCTCCAAACCTTAGGTAAGTTTTATACATACAGTATACAGTACGTACGTCAGGCTTTGTATTTGGATAATCGGTGAATGTAACTTAATGCTTTCTCTCTATAGCAGAATTGGTCAATACACCATGTTAACTCGCCTACACGATGGTTTATCCTATTTATACATCACAAATAAAGGTAAGGTCAGTGAGGCGTAAGCGACAAATCTGTGGATCTACACTATACTTTTACGCACCAACGCATACATTACGCAACTTTGTTTTAAGTATCGCTACGCCAAGTTACTATTTGTCTAATGACCGCCGACTACACATGAAGGGAGACCAGTTAAAGCGAAAAAAATGTCACCGTATGATTGCGGTTTCATGAGAACGAATACTGAAGAAAAATACCTCAGAGTACATCAGTGAAACACACATATACTTTCCCTATTGGTAAGAAATGACTCCTTTGACCATTCAGTCCCAGAATCAATAGGAAGAACACGACACTACAGTACAAGCCAATAGTGAAGTTTGGTACTGACAGATACAACAAAACTGGAGTGACTGCACGGTCGGTCACTAAGAGTAACGACGACATGACTGACAGAGAGACAAGACTAATACACACTATACACTCAGCTTTAGTCAGCGGGGTATAAAAATTAAGAATAAAGATCATGTGAAGATTATCCACCCTATCCTATTTCATCTGATGAATCAACACCCCAACGCAACCTAAAGGGGCTAGGTTAGGTTAGGTTAGCATTAGGTTTGTTAATCTTTAGGTGAAATAAGCTAGGGTGCTTAATTTTCACTTGATTAAGGAGTGTATTAAGCGATTTGCATTTATAGAAGAAGAAGAAGATGAAGAAGAAAAAGAAAAAGAAGAAGAAACAAGAAGAAGATGAAGAAGAAGAAGAAGAGCACTCCACAGCCGACGGATGATATCAGTCTATGACCTTAAGGCTTAAAAGCTGTTGTATTGTTGAGATAAACGACCTCTTATACTGAAGTGAAAAATTCTATCACTAACTTTATCACAAGAAACTCAGAGGACAACATGGTCAT